TTTTTTCCAGATCCTTTTAAGAAATTTTTCGGCATTTTGTCAGCTTAAATGCAGAAAATAAGGTAATAGTCGGAAAAAGTGGTAACATCTCGTGCATTGGCTTTTGTCGAAAACCTATGCCCAGCATCATGCTTTCAATTTGCCGACCTGCGTTGTGATTTTCACTCCTAAGATTCATGATTATCGTGATCCCCACTCCAGAGGCTCACGATATGGTGGTTTTCCTTTTAGAGACACACTTTATAATCCGGTTTCTGAAACGTAACATAGATCCGATATCGTAGCCTACCATAACTCTGATGAATTCTTTGGAATTTACATATTTGTTTTATACGTTCCGAGTTTTTTTTCCCTGCTTAAAGTACTCGTGAATCTAATGTTTGTATTCGTTGCTTATAACGTGGTTTCGAAAATGTTTTTGATTTTTGTGCTGCGTTTTTGTAATAAAACAATAAAGTGTGACCAATTTATTGTCCACATTAAGTAGGATAAAAGTAAGAAGATAAATTATACGTAACTTTCTGGATAAGTGGTACCAGAGTTGTTTGAATTAACACAGCGAAAACTGTACTGCAACTGAGATGTTAATATCAGATGTTAAGATGTTAATCTCAGGATCACTTGAATTGATGGCTGGAACCCCCACTGTTATCATAATACCAAGAATTAGTGTCACTTGCGCCACCATTGGTCACTCAGATGACTGACCGGGTGAAAAGGTCATTCCGGGCAACTGACCGAAAAACCAGATCACTGGGTTGGACAATATGTATCGTCGCATATGATGTGGGTAGTCGGCAGCGTAACTCATGCTGATCCTGATCAAGGTCCCTCAGGCTATCCATTTCTACCTCTCACCCAAATCCGCTCAGTGGTTACTGGAACCTCAGTCATAAAGATACTCAGACTACGATCGTTAGGTGCTGTTGAGGTAATAATCACTAAGAAATCCTCGATGTCCGGTGTGGAGAGGCCGTAACGCTGTTGAGTCTCGGTCACTAGAAACACTCGGACTGTGACAGTGGTACTTGCGAATCTGCAGGAGATAGTGAAAAACCGGCAGCTGTGGAGCAAGAGATGTATTAGGATATGCGTGCTGCGACATAGGGCAAGCGTGGAACTTGCACTAAGTGAAAGCTGACTGAAATTCACTAAATTCTGTGAAACAAAGCGAAATGTTGCAAAAAGAAATTTGAAGAAAAATGATTTTTACAGGGTTATGCGCTGTTTTATAGGATGGCGCATCACGATCACGGTCATCCATCAAAATTAGCCATTTGTATGGGAACTGCCCGGATGATAAATGTTCATATGCTGTTGGAATCTGCAAAAATTAAAAACCACTGATCAGTTTAGGATGTCTTTTGTGCTTTTTCTCTTGATTTTTTTCTTTTTTTGATTCTCTCACTTGACTTTATCTGATCCTGCTGATCAGTGGATAAGTACCAATCATACCAATCTAATGCAAATGACTTCCAAAACTCCCTAATTGGAGTAGGTCTGGTTGCTTTTCAGTAAATCCGGACAGTTTTCTCGAGGGATGGAGCAAAAATTTTCGATTTGCGCAAGATTTATGCGGGTGGCGAACAAATCAAGTTTGTCTCTGAAAAACCCTGGAAGATAGCTGAACTACATGAGTATAAAAAAATACAGGGCACCGAACCTTGCAACACAGTCGGCCTGGAAATCGCGCTGGCAGGATTCTGTATAAGCAAAGCGATACAGTACCTAAAATTTTTTTCCCCTTTTTAAAAAACAACGTTTCGGTAATAAAGCGAAAATATCATTCTGAGAAACGCCATACAAAAAATCTTAAAAAAGAAAAAAAAAAAAAAAAACGCACCACGAAAACGAGAAGATGAAGGAACAAAAGGTAGAAGAAAAAT